CCCCCCCCCGCTCAGGTCTTTCAGACTCAGGGCCATGGCTTCCTTGATTGAGTCTCTCCATCTGGAATATGGTCTTCCTTTTTTCCTACTGCCTTCTTCCTTACCAAGCATTAAAGTCTTTTCTAGAAAGTCATATCTTCTCATGATATGGCCAAAGTACAACAGTCTCTGTTTATTCATCTTCACTTCTAGGGAGAGTTTGGGCTTGATTTGCTGTAGGACCCATTGCTTTGTCTTTTGAGGAGTTCATGGTATCCATAGAACTCTTTTCCAGCCCCACATTTCAAATGAGTTGATTTTCTTCCTATTAGCTTTCATCAATGTCTGGCTTTCACAACCATATGTAGAAATGGGAAATACAATGGCATGGAAATCTGCCTACAAGGTGAGTTATTGGGGAAGATGTAGCTATGTGATGCACATTACCAACCAATGCAAGATCTGGTCAAGAATTCCAAATTTTACAATATATTAAATCAAAAACAACATGTTAGCTCCATGATCTGGTTCTATGAAGGTGAAAGCAAAGTGAGAGGAAGCACAGATCAGTTTTACTTCCTTTTTCCACTCCTAGGCTGCAACCGCACTGCAGAAATAATCCAAGTTGACACCAGTTTAACTGCCATAGCTCAATGCTATGAAATTCTGGGAATTGTAGTTTGCTGAGGCACCAAAGCTCTTTGTCAGAGAAGTCATGTCTCACAAAACTAGAACTCCCATAATTCCATAGCACGGAGCCATGGCAGTTAAACTGGTGTCAACCTGGATTATTTCTGCAATGCAGAAATTCTCCTGATGCCCAAACATGTCCCTATTCTCCTGATGCCCAAACATGTTCCTAAACTAGAATGATCCCAGAATGTAGAATGATGTGCTTAAGTGCCCATCAGGAAAAACAAAGAACCAGATTGAGGTCAAGAGACAATACTGAGTGAACTTTCTACAGTATCTATCAGATAGCTCTGGCTCACCCTGGTAATTCAAAACACAACACCCTCCTTCTCAAGGACACACATTTGCCATTGCAATCTGTCCTGGCTCTCAGATTCCACTCTGCAAAGCATTTATCTGGCTGGTTGTCCGCAATGCAAAACACTTAATATCTAGAGCAGTCTTAAATAATTCATTAGCACTCAATAGGCCTAATACCTCTGCAGAGAATGCCAATAAACGAGGTTAAATGGAAGCCCTGCTGGTTTCTTATGCATGTGTTGGTTTAAGTGATGATAAATATATGCTTTGCCAGACAGGCGTATAGCGGTAGGGAATAAATTCATTCTTATCAAAGAAAAAAATAAATGGTAAGCATTCTCTTTCAGTTAAGGGGTGGGAGGAATAGAAGAACCCACAAAAATCTCAAGAAAAAAATGGGAGGTCATTTTGGGAGCTCCTACGCAAGTGAAAACATCTTAAAACTCAGCACTATTTTGAGAACACTGACAATGTTTCCCATGGATGTGCTGCACTTCCTAAGTTTGGAACATACACACAACAAAGTGATTAACCACAGGCTGTTAAATCATCTATGTTGCAATGCTTCAACTGTTTTTCAAGGAAGGTGGTAGATTTCTAATTTTGGCATAGCATTCAATATCCCAAGATGTAGCAGTGGACACTAGCTCAGCTGCCTTTGAAGCAGGGGAATCACAAAATCATAAAATGATAAGAACTGGAAGGGGCCTCATGGGTCATCAAATCAAACCCTCTGCTCAGTGCAAGACCTCTAGCTAAAACAGGTAGATGTCCAGCTTCATTTTGAAGACATCCAGAGAAGGTGACCCCGCCACCTCACTAAGCAATTGGATCCATTGCCAAACTGTTCTTACTGTCAAGACGTTCCTTATAATATTCAATCAAAATCCGCTTTCCTCTAACTTCAAACTATTAGACCAGGTCCTATCCTCTGCTGCAGCAGAGAACAGCCTGCATTCTCTTTCTGTGATGGCCCTTGAGGTTTTAAAGAGTGCAGTCATGTCACCCTCAGGCTTTAACAGGCTCCACAAGCCCAGTTCCCTCAACTTTCCTTCATATGTTTTGTTCTCCATACTTCCTATCATCTTTGTTGCCATTCTCTGAATCTGCTCCAGCTTGTCTATAAAATCATAGAATCATACAATCATAGAATCATAGAGTTGGAAGAGACCAC